TAAAAATAGAGATTGGCTCATGATGAGTCATTTGAGCTTGTCCACACATGGTATTTCTATCTTTAAAATATTAGAGTCTATCATTTTTCTTAGCATTGCCAATCATCCTCACTGAGTTTAATTTCTGAAATCCACAATAGGTTAAGAAAAATTTAGCATAACATTTTAAATCATAAGTTAGTTTGCTAATAGATAGAAAATTATAAGAAAGATTTGGAAAATAAAAAATATTATAAAGAATAAAAGATTTTGAAATAGCTATTAATCATTTTTCCAACAATTGTTGAAAAGTAACTATCGATAATTTTAATTTTTTTGATTTCCTACACATGGGCTATAAGAAGAAAACAACTTAGAATAACTTGCCATATGGTCTGTTGTACCAAAATCCATGATCCATTGACAACTAGTAATGAAGGTCACATTAAAAGCAATAACTTAAAGATGATTATTTTTTTGAGCTAAAGAATAAGAAGAATACACATTATTTGAGAATTGTGTGGATTGTTATAGTTTATACTGTTAGTTTAACTGTTCCTTACTAAAATGAGATATCTATTTTGTTTCTCCTGAACCATTCAAATTAGTTTCTTCTCAACACCTATTTGAAATGCTTTTGATTCATGATTGGATTATTTTCTCTTCCAATTCTGTGGTTTCTCATGTAATTCCCAACATATATCTCGTATGTGTCGTGACTTGTGGCAATGATTACACCACATTTTCTCACCTTTTTTATTTTACCATGTCTGTCCAGATTGAGTATAAGATTGGATCTTAGTGGTGAGAGTAGAAACTTTAGCAGCAGGTTGATTATTCTTTCTCAATATCACCTTTCATCGACTTTTTTCTCTCGTTACTTCAGCAAACTATTCATGAAGAATTGGTAGTGGTTTTCTGTCAAGAATTCGACCTCTAACCTCATATAGGTTCTTATTTAGCCTTACCAAAAAAATATATACCCTATCATTTTCCATCATTTTCATGTATTTTACACTATTATACACACACTCCTAATCTTCTTCACAACACAAGTCCAGCTCTTGCCACAATGCTTTCATCTCGTTATAATACTCTATCACCTTTCAATCACCATATTTAGAATGCCATAGTTTAGTCTTCAATTCAAAGATTTGAGATGAGTTTTTCATACCATATTATGTCTCTCAAATCATTTCCCATACTTCTCTCACAATTGGAAAAAGATAATAAGTTTTTCAAATTGCTAGCTCCGAATAGTTTACACGACATGCAATCACTAAAGAATTATCAAATCTTCATATATTTCGTGTTAGGTCATTGTTAGCTAGCTTTTTTGCCTTATCTGTTAAGTGGTCGAGCTTTCCCTTGCTATCAATAATGAGCTTCATTGATTACATTCATTCTAGAGAATTTTTACCGTTTAGTTTATGAACAATCAATTGGATAGATGGTTTTCCATATCCATTAATATTTACGATAGAAATACCTCTACTAACAGTGCCTATGAATGTTATGCATTTTTCTTCGATCATGGCTATTTTGACCATCACAATTTTCGAGTGAAATATCTAAGCTCTGATACCAAGTGAACAGAACAAAGAAGATAACTTTTCATTGATTAACATGAGAGTTACAAGGATTTGCATAGACTAAAATTTAAAATTTAACTTTTTACTTACCTGAGCATAATTCTACAAACTAAATAACAACCTATTCATATAAAAATGCAAATTTGTTAATACTTAACAATTTTATGGTAAAAAATCTTATATTTCTACAAGTATGAATGTTTTTGGTTACGTACAAGACCAAAAATAAAGGGTACGAAAGTATTTGACTAATGAAGATCTAGATTGTAAAATTTTAGATGTGAAAGTTACAAAAATTTTAGATATATTTCATTGAATACCAATCACTAAAAAATAATTTCTAATAATGTTATCAAACAATTGAAATTATTTTATTTTCCAAAAGTGATTTTCACTAAAAATATTTTTTTTCAAAAGCTCATTTTGGGTTATCAAACGGAGCCTTAGGCTTTAATGCAAACCTTCTTGTGAAAAAGATCTTCAACAAATGTTCCATGCCCTACTATTAAGATTTGAGACTACAAATTTATCATTAGTTCATCTTGTTATCCATTCTATAAATCTTGCGTACTTGTTTATGGTATGCCAAAAGATTGCCACGTGGTAATTACTATTTTATTTATTTTTTAATATTTAATAAATATTTTTTTATTTTTTTAATTTATTAGATCTTATAAGGTGTCAAAGCATTTTAAAGGGTGTTCAAAATTCAATTTAAATCTAATTAACTGACCGAATAGATTTAATTCGATTAATTGGTCGATTACCAAATTAATTTTAGATGATTAATAAAAATAATTTTAAAAAAATTAACCAAAAATTTAATCAAAATATAACAAAATCTAAATATAAAATGAAAAATATATTATATGGATTATTTCATTTTATAAGTTGTTAGAGTTTTTAACATAATATTTTGGTATTTAAATATTTTATTGGATAATTTTATTTAATTTGTTTAAAATATGAAAAATTAAGAATTTAAAATATAATTTAACTTAAATGTTATACTAATAAAATTATTACATCAAAATTAAAAAAAATTTAAAAAGTTTTACAAAATTCAAAAAGTAAGTTGACTAATAGTATTAATCTCACGTACCAAAATGGATAATGAATGAAAGTTGAAGTATCAAACTGAAAATTTTATTTTTTTAAGTACCAAAATAAATATATATATAATATAAAAGCTATTTTTATATTTAATTACTTTCTTTAATTCAAAACAAAGCTTTACTTTTCTCCACTCTATCTGTGAAACAAATTTTCAAGGTTACTTTATAAATAACTGTTGTAAATTTGAATGTGACAACCTCTTGATTTTTATGGTTTTTTATTATGGGACCCATTTGCATTTTTAAAATTTTTTAAATGTACGGGCTCACATTTTTTTTTGTGGGGCTCACGCTTTAGTTTTATTTTATTTTTCTTTTTTAATTAGTTGGGTTCACTTGCTTTTTAAAAATTTTTTTTTTTAAAGGTGTGGGAGCCATATTCTTTTTTTTTGTTAAATTTGCTTTAGATGTAAGACTCATCTTTAAAATTTTTTTTCTCTTTAACCCACATTTTTTTATTTTTAAATATGGGATTCATATTTTTTTTTATGACCGCTTTGACATTTTATTTATTTATTTATTTTAAATTATTTATTTATTTTATTATAATTCTTTTTTCAATGCTACCTACTTTTTTTAAAAGGTTTTTTAGTTGAACTTTTTTTTCTAGATTTTTTTCTTTGGTATTAAGTGAAATTTTTTAAAAATGTTTCATAAATATATATTTTTTTTTTGGGAAATTAACTTAATATCAAAGTTTATCCATTTTTTTTTTGACAAGATTCAATAAAATTTTTAATACTTCTTTTCCTTTTTTGATATTATAGGTATGCTGCGTTTTTTTTTCTTCAAATTTTAACCTTTTTTTCTTTTTTATTCTTTATATATTTAATTTTAAATTTATTTTTTTATAACTCACTTGATCTCAAGGGTTTGTCGTATGCTAAGTTATATAATTTGTTTTTTTTTTCTTTTGCTTTTTAATCTGTTTTATTTAGTTTTTCCTTTATTTATTTAATAAATATTTTTAAAAATTATTCCTTATTGCTTTCACTATATATATTAAATTATATTTTATATTATATTTTATTATTTTATATTTATATATATTATATTAACAAAATTATTATTTAATATCTTAATTTAAGAAAAATATCATATTTATATATCATTCATTATATAAATTTTATTCATTTTACTTTTGTTTGACCTTTATTTAGGATCTCAATGTACCACTTTATATATATTTTTTTAGTTTCTTTTCTTTTATTCAATTTTTTTTATTTTTTACTTAGATAAATTTTGTGAAAAAAAATGTACGTGTTTGCATGGGACCTCAATTTGCCTTTTTCCCTTTCAGTTTTTTTTTTTGATTTTTTAATTAAATAAATTTATAAAAAAAAATTGATAGGTAGGCATATTGAAATAATTCGTATCTGATGGATTCTCACTCGATTAGAATGTCTACATAATACCCCAATAAACCTTCTTTCTTTTTCTTTTTCTTTTTCTTTTTTTGTTTTTTGTTTTTTATTTTTTATTTTTTATTTTTAGGTTTTTAGTTTTTTAGTTTTCCCTTTTTATTAAAATCCTTTTATAAAAAAAAATCAATAAAGGTATCCATTAGGCACCCATTTACCTTTTTTATTTTATTTATTTTATTTTTATTAATTGAATAAATTTTGTAATGCAATGTGTCAATTGATAAAGATGCTAAAACAATTTGTATCGGATTTGTTTTTATTTATCTTAATCTAATAAAAGCCATTATTTTTAAAATCAAAGTTGAGTTAAGACGAGTTAAAAATTTTTTTTTTAAATGATATTGGGTCGAAAGCATGTTTATAGTATTTTATTTCGATCAATTTCAAGTTATATATTAATGTATATATTTTATAATTTATTTAATTTTATACATATATATGCTATATTAATAAAATTATTTTTAACTTTAATTTAAAAACTAATATTTCAAGCTCAATATTGGGTATCAATAAGCACCCTCATAAGCTCTTTTTTTATTTCTGTTATTTTTTTGTTATTTTCTCTTTTTATTTTTTTTTCAATCTTTTGGTCATTAAATTTTTTAATTAGATAAATTTTGTAAGAAAAAAGCTTATTAAGATATTCACATATCATTCTCATTTATTCTTTTAATTTAGACAGTTTTTTTTAAAAAAATAATAAATACAAACAACAAAACAAAAAAGTTTTGATCCAATAACACGCATATATACTTTTTGTCTATATAATGTAAACTCAAACCAAATAATTACCAATCAATTTTGAGTTAATGAAATGTTCAAAAAAGGAAAACATGATTTAAACAATCCATTTTAACATGTTCAAAATCCAACCGAACTCAATTAAACTGTTAAAAGAATTTTCACTTCCAATTTCAAGTCCAAACTCTGGGAAAGTGATTATCACTATGAAAACATCCAAATGCTTTAAGCAAGATCAATAATAAATTAGCTGATTGCTAGGTAATTGTAACAAACCAAATCTTAAAATACATATCACATTGTCACTTATAACAAATTGACTTGAAAGCTCTTGCACTAATCAACTAGAACAATATCTAAAGGGAGCTAAAATCCATGGAAACACCTATTTTCTGGCTTCTCTTCTATTTGATAGTCTCCAAAACCTGTAAAGAAAAAAGAATACCGATTACAGAATTGCTTCGCCTGCCAAATAAAACAGAATCATGATCATTTGCAGATAAATTACAACCTCGATAAGTTCACAAGCTGTCAAACCGGACAACTACACAGGTAATGTTGTCTGAGCTCCCTCGCACATAAGCTTCTTTTATAAGTTTTCTTGCTGCAGCTTCTGCATCTGTTACGTCCTGCACTAAGTCCACAGCATCCTGCAAGTGATAGAACAAGTCCAGGTGCTTAGGTTCCATACAAGTTAATTACAATTATTAAGAACTAACAAAAAATATATATCAATAAGAAGTTTCTCTACAGTTTCTTTTGTTTAGCGTAGGAAACAAATGTGGTAAAAAGTTCTCACCTGATTTGACAAGACATTCCATAGTCCATCACTTGCAATGATTATGAAATCTACACTGTTAATTTCTTCTTCCTAAGCATTGGAAAGCATATAACCATAATAAATACTTCTAGATGAAAAGGTTTGCTAAGATACCAAAGAAAAAGTACCGAAAATGCTTTCTTAGCAAACAAAGGAAACCTTAGCAACTGAAACCGAGTGTCACAGGCTCAATTGCCATATGTTTTGCATCTGTTGCTACATTTCTTCGACACCCAACTTAATTAAGTGAATTAAAAAAGTACAAACTTTTAGAGCATGTAAACCCTAATACCACCTGAATTTCAGGCTCAGCAACTACATAAGGTTTAAGTAGTTTATCGCCAAATGCACGAGAAACAGCAAGAACTCCACCAACCCGCCATGTACCTAACATGGTAAAGAAACATCAGGAAAATCTTCAATGCTAATTTTTGTTCAAATGCAGAATAGATAATAACAGTTCACTAAAATCTATACTAGTTTAATCCAATAAAGTGAATGCTGGCATGAAAGACTGCAAAAGGGCATATTACCCGCCCAAATGATGAAACCTCCAGCCTCTTCAATCCTTTGGCGTTCATCAGATCTATCAGGCTTGTGATCAGTAGACAGAGGGACAGCTGCAGAAAACACAAAAGTACTCAATCAACGTTTAAACACCACAGAATTTGAGTTTTTGCCATATATTCTCAATCCTATACATCAAGGTAATCCAAACCTTTTATTTGTACTTTTAAATCGGGGAGATATGGTTAAGCCAAAGCCTCAAAGTCTGTCAGTGGCTAACACGAAAATAGCATCTCTAACATGCAACAACCATCAAGCTATTACTTGATCGTACATGAATCACAGGACTAAGCAATTTTATTCTCATTTCGTTTTATATATTCCTTTTCAATCTGAAGGATTAACCATAATGACTAGTCTAAATGATCCTAACAAGACCCAGCCTTAGCACAGAAGACGGTAACCTGATCCAGCTCTACAGGCAACCACTCTAGAATCACCAACGTTTGCAACAAACAACCGATCACCCAATAACACAGCAGTTGATGCAGTTGAACCAGCATTTTTTTGCTGGCCTTTCTCTTCATTGAGGTAATCGTCATCAGTTTGTATAAATGCTTCAACTGCAATAAAAGCTTTTTCTACTCAATACCCAGAAAGGAAAAAAATTACATTGTCACATATATATATATATATATATATGTTTCCATAAACATATACAAACAAAATCATGGAATTCCCAGCATATAGTAAAGTGAAAACTTCACCAACTTCATACATATAGCTGTCTTTGTGTTGTTGATAAAATCAGGGTGGGAGCTCAAATTTTTGAAAAGGTTGTTTTTAAGATACTCTGCAGTTCCTGAACCTCCATGACCTATATTAGAAAGAAAAAAGGGAAAGAAAATCAATCATAAACCACCATATACACCCTCCCCTAATTCTTATTCAAGATCCTTTTCCCCCACTATTTATAAAATTTTTTTAAAAAATTGCAATTGAAACCATAAAATATGGCTTGTAAAGAACAACGTGAAGACAACATAATGGGTTAGCAATAATGGCATATAAGTGATGGCATACCATCAAAAACACCAAAAAAGGCAACCATCTGACCATCAACTTCAGATATCCTTGTTTCATAGAAATCCTCCATTGAAGGCCTTTTGCCCTTGAAACTGGAATATCCATAGCTGAATTTAGCAGTTTGACTTCCAGTAAGAAAGCTGGCAAAAGAACCAAACCAAACATTTTAGTCACCTTGCAATCCATTTTCAGGACCAAACAGTCACTAACCTACGGTTTTGACAAAAAAAAAAATCATGTAACTTTTGCAATTTTACTAAACTTCACAGGAACTTAAGACTTTCAAAATTTTTGATTTGATAATCCACACAATTCACTATTTAGAAGCCTTGCAGCAAGAAGACTAAGTGTCACATTTAATCAGATCCTTATTCAAATTTTGGGTTGAAATTTGGGATATTACACAACCCCATTTTCAATCAACATGAACAAGGTGTGTCACTAAGTCAATAGAGAAACATTGCAAAATATTTGTTCCCATTACAAAACAATCAGATTTTTAAATTCTAGTTCTTATGCTACCGTATCGAAACAAAAAACTATTATGTACTCCTCTTGGATCTTAACTTCCAGCTTGAACTAAGAACCATTAAACCAAAGCTAGATTGATTAAAATTAAACTAATCAATCTATAAAAAAGAGTATGCAAATGTTACTTAACAACTAAAAAGTAAAAGTGCACAAGACAATTAATTTAAATGAAATGCATAGTAAAAGTAGTTTCTTTGGATAGAATCATAGACAGCAAGTGCATCAATGGCAGTGCCGTAACAGAAAGTCCCCGTTTAATAAAACAAAGGTCCATGAAGTGTAATTTTACATTGAAATTAATGAAGGGTCATTTCTTCAAATAGAAACGTATGGAGTACAATTATATGATAAAGTACATTGAGTTTAGCGAATAAATTCTGTATTATGTCAATTAACCAGTCGATGACATCTTATTAATAAGAAATTTTTATAAAAAAAAATAAAATAAAATTTTGTGTATTTATGCTAGTAAAAATTTAAAAATTTTTAGTGGTATCATGTGATTCCATGTATAAAATAGTATCAAATATAAACTCAAGTATATTTCCTCAAAAGAAATTATTTTCTTAAGTGATACTCTTTTGGTGAATAACATTACGAGACTACTTAGAAAAGAGAAAAAGAAGAGGGAAATGGAGAACCTGATGCCGCCACCGCTGAAGAGGGCGCCGGGGTCCCTAGAAGATATCATAGCGTCTGGATGAGGCGGTTGCAGCGGTTGTTCAAAGGTTGAAGGTGGGAGTTGCGGTGGGTCAGCCAGTGAAGGTGAAGAAGGAAGAGTCTCAACATCGGCATCCCCACCTGACGGAGAAAAGGAGGAGGAGGCGGCGAATGGGTCCGTCAGATTTGTTATTAGGATAAAAAGACACGTAACAAAATTTGCTTATAACCTTTTCCAACAAATTTTAAAAAAAAAGGAAAAAACTTTTATCTTCTTTTATTTTATGGTAGAAGATGATTTCGGCTTCAAGCAGCTCAGGGTGGCGCGTTTTGAAGGGAACGCAAAAATCGTTTTTATTTATTTATTTTATTTGGAAGGAGCGGTGCGGGGGAATGATGCTTTAACCTTTACTTCACCCTCAGAAAAGAGTTTGTGAGAAATGCATGTAGGCCCAACCCAACTTTGCATCCAACACCAACAATAGCATTTCATCGGTGGAAGGAATTGGATCAGATTTTGACATTTTGTTTTTGGATCTAATTTCTTTCTAAATTATTTTATAAGTGCATTACTTTTCCAAATCAATCTGTTGAATTTTAAACACTCTTTAAAACATTACTTTTATATTAAGTACAATAATTAATAATTAATTTGATAAATTTTAATGTTTTACTTTCTTTTCATAGATTTTTTTAAAAATTTTTATTAAGCTCTTCACTCCATTATTAACTATATAATGTGAAGGATGAAAAAAAAAAAAAAATCAAAGATTTTGTTTCATAAGATCCAATAAGCAGCGACAGCCGAGAAAGCCAGTTTTGTTTTGTCTCCCAATGAAGTCTTTTTCTCGCTCGCTAATGAAATTAAATGTTTCGGATCTACAACTGTATTCCTCTCTTCCCTTCCCTTCCCTTTGGACACAATACTAAAAAATATATTTGCATCCGGCCATTCAGTTCTCTGATAAATATAATAAAAGTTGTTACAGCCTTTACGTAGTGAGAATGAGAAGGGCTTTAGATCATGACGTTTTAAATTCAAAATCTAACTGTATAAATTTAATTTTTTAACTATATTTTAAATTTATTAGTTAGTTATTTAATGTCAATAAATGATATGAATGTGATATATTTTTAAAAAATTGAATTGAAATCTCTTTTTCTTATATTCTCTTTTTACTCGTATTATAGAGAAGAATTTGACTTGTTCTGAAAAGGGCAAAAACCAAAGGGCCCTTGCTTACTTATCTGAAGAATATAGTTCCTTGCATCATAGATTCTCACTATTATACCGCATGTGCTCTCCGTGGCATCTCATAAAGCCCTACAATTTTGAAACATGCTTTAGATCAATTAGGCACTCCCAAATTCCTAAGTAGGCTTAGCTTTTAAGTCTAGCAATTTAAAACATGAAAATTTTATAAAAATGACAACAATTTAAAATTTTAATAAAAACTATATATAAGTTTAATAAACTATAAAATGCATTTTTTTAATGATATAAATTATGGCTAATATTATTTAAAAAAAATACAAATACATGAATTACCAATATTTTACACAACATAAATGCAAAAATTACTAGGTCCATAAGAAATAACTCTTACCACTTGGGTGGTTCATTATATAAAATTCAAATACATACCACCTGAATAACCAAAAGCAGGAAAAACTACCCAACAGTAAAACCACATCTCACTGTTCAGCAAAGGGATTCTTTTGCAAGACAGTAAATTTGAACAAGGTCGAATGATTTGGAGGAAAACTGAACAGCAAGCTATTTTCTTTTCTTTATGCTTTTTAAAAGGTGAAAAACAATATTACAAGGAACATAACCACATTCATTACTGGAAATTCTGGATTAAAGCCCAAAGCTGACTGAACAAGCCAAAAAAAAACAGGTGTAAAGCTCTGAAGCAAACAAAGTGCAACCTGAAGGGAGTTGCAAAATTTTAATGATAGATCACCATGAGCAACAACTATTTGTTGAAGCATCATTTTGGGGAGGATTCTGTTTGAAGATGTTCTTTTTCACTCCAGATGACCCCTCAGCCAAGAGACTTGGTGTTTCCAATATCTGCAAATCAAACATGATTACCATGTTAAACTACCTACCTAAGCATGCATAGGAACACTTGTAATTGCTGCCAGTCGACAATGAAGAACAAAATATTTGAAAGGGGATCGTAAAAGTTATCCCTTTCAAGTTTCAAACAATATAGAATATTCTATAACCAATGTGAAATTTATAAAGATAGTTGATGATTGCAGATTTGTCAATCACAGCAGAAGCACGCAAATATATTCACTGAATAAAATGGAAGTGAGCCTTTGATGTTGAAGATCAAGGTGGCAATACTATTTTGCAGCTAATTAAACAAAAAATGGAATTTTATAACTGTAGTTACATCTGGACAATGCTTCCCAACAACCAATTACTTAAGTAAATAAACAACCAGCTTGTCCATGCACTTAGAATCATAAATATTCTCCCATTCATATTAGGAAATCAGGTTCTAGTGATATTGGCACTTAAATAGGTGGCATTATCAGCATAATACAAAAAGCTAGCACACTAGTACTGTAAGTCTGTAACTAAATACCAGAATATTTAACATTTTAAAGAGGTAGCGTTTGCAAGTTGTCACAGAAGACCAACAAGTAATACTAGATAACCCAAACTAGAGCGCTATAGAAGAAATGGTATTTAAATTATTATATTTCGTATTGTTATAACACTGCATCTTTCTCTTTCATATGAAAACAAGAAGGAAAAAGAAAAAACAAACCCCAAAGTGCTTGCCCATTTCCTCAAAGTTATATTAGTTAGATAGCTGAGCAATTTACTCTAAGTCCTGCACAGCAATCAAAACAAGGCAAAACAAGGCATACAATGCTAGAATTTCAATTACCCTCAAGACAAGCTCCTCAAAGCAATGTTCCACATTGACTCGTGTTTTTGCACTACACTCAATGAAAAGGCATCCATATTCCCGAGCAAAGTCAATGCCCTCTTTTTTGCTGACAACTCTTTCACTTTCCTGTACATGAAGGTGTAGATGTGAGTTCAACAACCAAATGGCACAAACTTACTTTTTGATAAGTGATCAAAAACCATAAACATTAAGATAACACTCAAGAACCGCTTCAGCAAGCACTAATGAAACATATAAACAAACAACCTTCGTGAAATTAAAGGACATAACTACTTTTTAAATTATACCTTATCAACTTTATTGCCAACAAGCATCTTGATGCAGTCCTGATTTGTTGAATACAGATCAATTTCTTTAGCCCATATGTCAGATAGATTTGTAAATGTGTCTCGCCGTGTAACATCATACACTGTACCAGAACAAACATAATAACTAGCATCATATAAGGAACCTCTAAGACAAGAATAAAAATAGATAAAATAAACCAGCTGAGTCTTTGAATACATCCAAACAATGAGTCCTTCCATTAGTTGTTCAACAGAAGGGAATAACTTAATGTAAATCTTCTTCTGGTAGTTAAATCAACCTACTGTCAGAGATCTAATTATCTTAGAAAGTTACATATCAACTGTAAAATACCACTCATGAAGTAATACTGACTGATAGCAGCAAGCAATATAACCCTTACTTTGCCACCAAAATGTTTAGCCCATGTTGGGCTAAACCAACACAACTTTTCAAATATACCAGAATAACAGCCCAGCAGCCTCTCAAGTTGGAGACCTTACTTACCCAACGTGAGGCCAATCTAGCTAGAACATTGGAGAACTTGCTCTAAATTTTCAAAGCTGAGGCCAATCTAGCAAGAAGATTGGAGAACTTGATCTAAATTTTCAAAGCTGAGGCCAATCTAGCTAGAACATTGGAGAACTTGATCTAAATTTTCAAAAATAATAGTAGCGCTGGAGGAAGGTTTGGGAAGCCAAACTAACCCAACCAAATATTTTAAATATAATATTGATTGAAATGTATATCATTATTATACTTGGGAGGAACAAAAAACTTCTGTCAGGATACGAGTCACTAATTTTTGCCTGTTAGCACAATCTGCAGTTGTTACTCGAAATGCTACAAAAGGGAAAAGCAATGCACCTCTTAACACAATTTATTGAATTCTTTTTCATTCTATTCCAATCCCTCAAAGGCCAAAAATTTTATAAGATAAAACATGTGTTTTGCAGAAATAAAATTAGAAAAAGTGCAAAATAATAAAGTGGATAAAAAAATCAATCTACACCAAATTCTGAGGCCTTTGAAAGCAGCATCTTTACCAATCTCTTCATGAACAACATCTAACATGTTTTTCAATCCTATGTGCTCCGACCTAACCAACTAGCCAAAAACAAACCAAATGGGGCACAAGCTATCCCACCTTATAAGGTTCATTCCATCGGTCCTCTCAAGTAAGATTTTGAACCATGACCCCAGAATGTCTGATTATTACGAGATTTAACTAACTGAATAGCACTAAGAATTTCAAAAAATGATTACTGATGAAAATTGAAAAAAAAAAATGGAATCAAAAGATCAAGAAAAAGAAAACTTCTGATGTGAATTCTTACTGCAAGATCTGATGTATGGACATGTATACATAAGGCAAAAGGGTCAAAAAAGCCCTCAAACAAAAATTCAATAATCATTTAAACCCTTGACATTGTATTAAAATCAGTCAAGCTCTGAATTTTCTATTTCAGATCAATCAACCTTAAACATCTATTTTCACCCCAATTGAGCCTTCAATTAGATGGAAATGGGTGTTGATGGTCAACCAGTTTTTGTCAAGTAAGGCCTCAATTGATGAAAATAGATGTTTGAGGACTTAAATGATTGTAATAAAATGATAGGGACTTGGATGATTATAGAACTTTGGTTCTAGGGCTTTTTTGACCCTTTAGCCAATGTATAAATATAGTGTTTAACAACATAGATACAACTATAAAAAAGTGCCATATAAGTAGATATAAGTAGCCACTAGCAAGAGATAAGTGAAGTCCATACCCATAATTATCCCTTGCGCTCCTCTGTAATATGAACTAGTTAGTGTTCTAAACCTTTCCTGTCCAGCTGCATAAAGTGAAGATATGAATATGATATAATAATTTATTCTATTTAAGTAAGTCTTCAACTCATTTTACCCAAAACAAGCACAAGGTATACACAATACCAAATTAAGATATCCAAGAAGAACAAGAGCTCTTTGCTGATATTCATTATTATTCTACAGTTGACACATATTGCAGAAACCGGTTGCAAACTTACAACCCGACAGTCCTGTCTTTCAAATTAAATTGTAGTACCTTGTCTAAACTTTATATATAAATATAAAGTTTGCAATTTCCGGTAATATCAGAAGGTAATACATTCAAATGTGCTCTAAGAACTCAAAATGAAAACAGTAACAATAGAACTTTTCCACTCGATATATATATATATATATATATATAAAGTTTCCAATTTACAGTAATATCAGAAGGTAATACATTCTAATGTGCTCTAAGAACTCAAAATGAAAACAGTAACAATAGAACTTTTCCACTCGTATCTAATGTTATATCTTCTATCTTAATAATCAAACACAAATATCCCACATTTTAATAATTAAAAAAAACCAATGGAACAGGAAAAAGAAACATGATCCAACAACATTTTGCCTGTGTCCCAAATGGCAAGCTTCAGCTTTTTTCCTCCAAGAGTTACTTGCTTCACCTTAAAATCCACACCTACCAAAAAAAAAGTCATAACCACTTATTTTTAATTTACAAAACAAATTAAAAAAAAGAAAAAAAAAAGGTAACGTTACCAATGGTAGGATTGAGTTCCTCAAAAGTATCAGAAATGAAACTCAAGAGTAGAGTACTCTTCCCCACACCCGAATCCCCAATCAATAACAGCTTAAACAAGTAGTCAAACTCAGGTTGACTCGTGGACGATGACTCCATCTTTTTTATAATAGTAATATTGCAATTTGGATCTGGAATTGGGGAAGAAGATTGTTTGTTTTGAGAGAAAGCAAAGCAAAGCAGAAGAAAAGTGTAAGAAAGAAGGGTCGAAAGTCCTCTTCTTTCTTCAGTCTCTGTAACAAAGTTTAAAATAAGCCCTTTTATTTATTTATTTATTTTAACAACCGAAACGACTACCTGCTCAGAAGATTGGGATTAGATTGGGTGCAGATTGTAGCATGCTTGTTGATTTACTCCTGTCTTTTAAGCTGTTTCTTGGTAATACTAACAATCACGTGTGAACTGGTTGATCTTTCAAGGTCTAGAGAGTAATAGGAACCTCTTTTGGATTTGGACATCTTTTGGTTCCAAACAGGAGTACAGTATTATTTCTAGGAAAAACTCGATTTTATACATCGACGACATAGAAGTCAAACCCCTATAGCCCCTCAATTAAAAGTAGATACATCAAGTACTTAAAATTTAACAGAAAATTCGATTTTTTATCTTAATAAACATAAATATGGATATTTAAATTTATAAAATAAAAATAAATATGATTTTAAATATTTTATTAAATATAAATATAAAAATAAATAATAAAACACTCATCTCATATCCGTAGCTTATATATTTAATAAATTATTTTTTATTTAACAATATAAATGTTATATTAGATTAATTATAATTAATATATTTGCATTTAAAAATATATATTTATAAAAATTTATACAAATATATAAAATAAAAAATTAAATTTATAAATTTATAAATTTTATATTTTATATTTTATATTTTTTAAAAAACTAATAATACAAGAATTATTTATATCTATTAAATAATCATAGGATTGAGATGAGGATGCATTTGAACTTGAATTATCCATTAAATATAAGTATAAAGATGGATATAATATAAAAAATTAAAAATGAGGATGAGAAATATTTTATCTGTTTCATACCCTACATATTGATATATTTAATTGTAAGGAATCCTAAAAGATTATAAAAGTGACACATTTATAGTTATATAGGCTTATTAGGTTTTGTGAGCTCTAAGTTTGTAAGAGATTTTTTTGTGAGTTGAGTTTATATTTATTTTATGAGTTTGCAACAGAATGTTATTAGGTTGAACTTATATTTAGTTCAAATTTCAAATGATTGGCCTAATTATATAAAATAGTTATTTTATCTTTAAAAATAACAAAATCCCATAATATATCTCTTATAAAACTTATAAGTAGGTAAGGGCTAAATTAAAAATAAAACTTAAGCATCAAAAGAGAAATGATAAATTTTAAATTTTCTTTTTAGAGAAAAAGTTTAACAAAAATCATCTAAGCATATACTTTACAAAAACATGATAAGGTTTATTTATCAAGTCGAGTTGTTGGTCAAGCTCATATGAAAAAGGGAAGAAGGTATAGTATTAAAACAAAATCATATGTCATTGATAGAATAAACATAAAAGATAATCACAATAATCTTTCATGAAAAAAATAATAAATAATAAATAAAATTTATTAATTGAATAATACAAATAACCCTATGTAATAAGAATAAAAATATAATACAGTTGCTTTTAAATAATTAAAAAATATGATAAAAAATTTTATTAAATAAATATCATCTTTAAGTAATTAACAAAATATAAAATATAAAAAATATCAATTAATTATTATATTTTTACTGAAAATTTTTAAATTTAAATCATTGAATCACCTAAATACATATACTTTTTTATTAAAAAAACTTAAAATAAAATGTTATTTTAAATTAAAAAATTTTAACCCATAATCGGGCACTTTTGCTAATTCACCGCAAGGGATTAGGTTTTTAGTGACTTTTTTTTTCACGTTTAGTAGAGTTTATAAATGTCACTAAAATATTAGCGACATTTGCTAAAAAGGTCGTTAAGAGTACCAGTTATACCTACGTCAAAGAAAATAATGGCATTTTTAGAAAAACGCCTCTAAATGCTGAATTTAACGGCGTATTTATCATAAAATGTCATTAAATTTAGCGGTGTTTGTTTTTAGAAATGTCGCTAAATGCTAATTTAGCGACGTTTATAGTAAAAAAACACTACTAAATTTAGAGATGTTTATAGTAAACAGTAACGTTACATTTTGGTATTTAGTAGCGTTTTTAGGCACAAACGCAGCTAAATTAACAAAATTTATTTTTTAAAAATTTTCTTTTAATATTGATTGTTATCATTAAATAAAAAAATATTAAAAGATATATAAATGAACTTAAATTCATAAACTGAATATTATAAATACATAATTTGTTCTAATGTGGATGGAACACAAAGTTTAATATATGCAGTAACATTCAAATTATTTTAGTATATTAACTAAAAATCTAAAATGTATAGAATTGGTGACTGCATAAATTTGGAACACTACCATTTGATGAAAGATTTTTCCCACCTTGATCATTAACGTGTTCAAGAACCTACTAAATAAAGTAATAAAGTTTTAACTCTTAATAATAAGCTATTTTTTATATTAAAAAATATAAATAGTTACTAAATATAATACCTAAATTGGTAGATCACCTAGATTAGTTCCTGAAAATTATTGTTGCACAAAATTCATAAGAGTGTCGAATCGATCATGCAATTGCTGAAATTTTGTATGCTCTTGGTCCATTCTAACACGTTCTTTTGCAATTTTAGCATACTTCTATTCAATTCTAGCATGCTTCTATTCTTTTTCTACTTCCATTTGCTTGAAAACATTGTTGCATAGTTTGAATCCTTTTCTCAATATGGAGATATCTCGCAAAAAATAACTTGATGAGAATATAAATTGTTGAGAGTTATGTCCTTAGAAACTAGATGGTGTTGGACCTAATCTAACTCGGACCAGTCCATGTCTTTCTTTTCTAGTAACTTTCTGTGAAAATTTAATTTTTCAATTTTTGCATATTGACAGAACCTATTACGTGTCATGTATTGATATCATGTTTTTTAAACAATGCAAAAAAGGAACAGAGATAATATCAACAAAAACTTATACAAATTTTAATAGAATATTCATACATCTAGAAACCTATAGTGTAATAGAGGAAGATTAAGTATGTGACAAACACTTTACTTTGTAGTATTCACAAATGACTATAGATGTCTTTTTTTGGTTTTCCATTTTCTATTGTTAATGGTTTTTATGCATAACGAATTCTTTCAAGCAAGATTAAATCATTTCATCAAACACATAATCTTTAAAATGCAAAGAATTTTACAATAACCCTTTAAAGTTCAACTTATTTCCTTTTGAATTGAAGATGTAAAGTTCAGGTATATGACATACATCAAATGAAAATAGCAGATATTAGAATGGTCTAGAAATTAAAAAAAATACTAAATAATCTAATTGAATATGGTAACACATAACATTAACATGAAATTAAGAAGAAAAGCATATGCACACCACCAGATATGCATATGCATGCTCGTTTCTATGCACATCTGTTTGTAAACATGATTGCTAGTTTTGGCAATTAACGACACTGGCAACACAAGGAAAAAGAAATCCTATATTAATAACTTTAGTAAAAGAATAAGCTTCTGCCAAAAAATGATAGCAGTGACAAATAGACAATGCACAGAACCTGTAAATTGTAAATAGCACAAATACCCCTTTATCCTTTAACGAGGGATAAAGTTTAGAAGCATTCAACAACATCCTTTATATGAACATTTTGCTAGTTAAAGATCCATAAGTCCAAGTAAATATTTAATACATGTTCCAGTTTACATAACTCAATAACAATCTCATTAAATTACTAGTAAATAAAGATAAAAAAATAGTAAAAGCAGAAAAATCGAGCTAAAAATACTTGTACAATGTAATTTGTAAGAAAGTGATGCGAATCCAAAAAAGGTCTCACAAAAGCCTATTTAATACTCAAATTACATTTAAAACATAATAAACTATTTCAAAATGGTTTCTTAAAGATATCTTGAATGAATCAACAAATTCATGTTAACAACTAGCAATTTTTTAGTAATTTCAAAAAGATTCTATTGAAAAAAAAAAGCTAAACCTAAAATTTCATACATGTTTATAATTAAATTCAACGTTCAATTTTAAGCTTTTTAGAGAAAAACTCTATTTCTTTTACTTTTTGTTCTATCTTGAATTTTTCTTATCAACCAAACAAAACCAAACTCAAAATTACAATAATGAAATAAATTGGTAAAAAAAAGAAAAAGAACGGCCAAGCATTGAAAATTGTCAATGTTGAAATGGAGCTTACCAATGGAGCTTGAACAGCGACAGAAATGCAATAAATGAAAAAAAAAGTTTAAGGATTTGACAAAAAATACAAGAAAATTAACTTGAAATTTGTAAAAATGAAAAGTAAAAAGATGAAAATTGACCACAAAATGACTAAAACTTAGATAGAAAAAGAGAAGAAAGTGACCCAAAATGAGCGAAAGTGAAAAAAAATGAGTAGGGAAAAGAAAAACATAAAGGGGGTTTCACAGGTTTGAAATTTAAGAAAAATTTAGCAGTTTTTTCTTATAGAAATGCTTTTAATAGTCCCTTCTCAATTTTTTTTGGGATTATTGAAGGTGTTTTTTACCCAAAAAATGCCTTGAATAACCTAATTTAATTTTTTATAAAGGGAATTTTTTACTAGAAACACCTTGAAAAACCTATTCAATTTTTTGTAAAGGATTATAATGCCTTGAATAATCTTATAAAAAAAGTGAAAGGATTATTGAATGCTTTTTTTAAAAAAAAAACCTTAAATAATCCCTTAAAAAACATAAAAAAAGCTAGAGAGATGGATCAAACCTACAACCTTATGGTTAACAATTATATGTTCTAATTGATTAAACTACTCCAGTATTTTTATAATTGAAGGGTATTATTTAAACTAAGAATAATCCCCTCTTAGAAGGGTATTTAAGATGTTTTTTTATCAAAAAATGCATTGAATAATCCTTTACAAAAAATTGAATAGGGTTATTCAAAATGTTTTTGGCAAAAAATGCTTTAAATAATTCTCTCTATTTTTATAAGGATTATTGAAGGTGTTTTTACTTAAAAAATACCTTCAATAAAAATTGAAAGGGATTATTCAAAGTATTTTTAGCCAAAAACGCCTTCAATAACCTAATTCAATTTTTTGTAAAAGATTATTGAAGGCTTTTTTCATGCCAAATGCCATATATAAACCAAATTTTTTACCAACAGAAACTTATAACTGACTTACATTCATTTTCAGACATGGTTTTCAAAATAGTAAAGACTATTGCACAATTGTTTAGTTAGGTCAAATTTAGCAATAATGCTACTTTTCCCATCGAAATCCTAGAATATTACAGGAAAATGGAAGTTTTTTATTTTGGAACTTTGGATATTTTTG